AAAAGCTTTCCAGTTCGTCAGTTTGCTGTAGCGTCTGGTGTCGTCTTTTCGCAAGTAGGGGTGATTTATTAGAATGGGAAAATGGTCACTCCCACGTGTTTCTACATCCGTTGTCCATACCACACCATTCACTAGATCTTGGGAACACAAGGTTACATCGATGCAACTCTAGTAATTATGCCCTCGGAGAAAAGTTTGGGAGCCGTCATTTAAAATTGTCAAATTGCATTTGTCTGCGGCACACTCAAAAATGTTCCCACGTGCATCACATCGATCACTACCCCAAATTATGTTGTGCGCAATAAAGTCTCCGCATATAAACGTATATGAATTAGAAATGTTGAAGATATTTGTTAGCTCTTCCACCGAAATGCGGCTTGAATGTTGTAGGTAAAAATTGATCACTGTAACGCACTGCTCACCAAAGGATACTTTGCAAGTGACGAAATCCGGGAAGTCCGAATCACTTGAGTGAACTTGATGAGAAGGTAGGTCCTTTCTGACGCACAAATGTACTCTGCTAGGACCACTTCGATGAGATGACTTATATATCACGTAGTTGGAGAGGCGGAAATCATAATTCATTCCTACCTCTTGGATGCAAAGTATTGGAAAATTACAAGGCAGAAGGAGTTTACGGAAGTCTGAAAACTTCCTTCGAACACCATTGGCATTCCACTGGTATATGGAGACATCTTTGTAGCGCTTATTCATATGTTACTTGTCGCAGGTTTGACCCGGATTGTTGACACAATAGTGCTTCCAGAGGCAGCAGGGCTTTTACTTCTGGCATGTTGTTTGGTTCCGGTGGAGCAGACAGGATTGCCTTAAGTGCTGCGAAAAGCATTGGCAGAATCAATTGCATGACTGATGCAGAGGCACGGTCTCCATTGAATGGTTGATTTTCTGAGGCCTGTTGAGAATGACGTGACGTTTCGATGTTGTAGTTGGGGCGAACACTGGCACTGTCGGTTTTGCTACTTTCCGGCAGAGGTCGCGTGGGCGTTCGCAGCATTGACGCGTAGGTTGGGTTACTTGAAGGTACTTCTCGTGAGTGGTCTCTCAGGTGTGCTCTTGGCGGCTCTCTTGGCGGTTCTCTTTTATTTATTTATTTATCACATACTGCGAACCAAGTATGGTCCATGCGGGAGAGGGCAATACAGTTCAAAATTCTTCTACATACATACACTTCCGCTGCAGTATACATTCACTGCAGAACAAAATTCATGTACATTAAAAATTCGTGAAAAACAAGGGACAAATACAGGCAAAAAAGCAGACTTAAGCAACAAGAAAAGGGTATAGTTTCATCTCGGCGTGTCGAGCATAGGGGAATCATGGGGCAGAGCATTCCAATCAGAGACAGTTCTCGGGAAAAATGAATACTTGTAAATGTTAGTGCGTGCAAATATAGGTGTAATGCTATGACTATGTTTATGACGTGAAGACCTGGTTGTGTCCTGAGGTATGTAATCTGGTGCATGCAATCCTGATCTGGAAAAGTATAAAAGGCGGAAAAAGTTAAGCCGTGCAGTTTTCCTTCGATCGGCCAAAAGTTGGAGGTTCGCATCCTGCAACAGGGCTGACGGCGAATCGCGACATCTATACCGGTTGTATATAAATCAAGCAGCTAATCGTTGTATTTTTTTCTATTTTCTGTATATTACCAGCTGTGTGGGGGTCCCACACAATGCTGGCATATTCAAGAGAAGGACGAACTATGACTTTATAGGCTCTAAGTTTTAGTGAACTAGAAGAACGACCCAATTTATTTTTTAGAAAGCCTAATTTTCTCCTGGCAGCAGAACATTCACTTGGCGTGCTTGTCGGCTGTTGTTGCGGTGGCCGCTGAGGTGGATCACGTACAGGATGAACAATCTCAAGGTTTGGAGATGGTTCATTGGGGCGCGCTTTTCTTCCATGGATGAGCTCATGCCGACGCATTTTTGCAGCAGCTTTACTTTGCGGGCAGCCTGAATATGAGGCAGCGTGATTACCTGCATAGTTTGCACACTTAGGCTGAAGAACAGACTTGCACTCCTTATGATGGTGTTTTTCTGAGCAGATCTTACACCGGCGTGTGTTACGGCAACTTTTCGCCATGTGTCCGAATCGCTGGCAGTTATAGCACCGAAGTGCTGAACCAAGTTATTCGTCCACTGGGTGACTGGTGAATCCTAAGCAGATTCTTCCTGGAATCGGGCGGTCATCTCGAAAAGTCAGAATCACTGAGTGAAGTGGACGCGACGTTATTCCTCCATCTTCCTGGCGGTAGTATTTTATTTGCCGTCGCGCCGATATTACTCCTGCATCTCTCAAGTACTCTAGGAGTTGTTCATCTGAATACTGCAGAGGAACATGTTTTACTTTCCCAACGTTCCGAGTGTATGACTCTGGGATGAAAGGCTTAACTTCCAGGCCACCTACATTTGAAAGCATCAGAAGACGCTTGGCTGAACTTAAGGAAGCAACGCTGACACTGAAGCTTCCATCTCTGGTCGTTCTGAATGACTGCACTTTTTCTTTAGCAGCGGAAACTACTTCAGCTGACACTCGATTGGGGTTCACTTTCCAGAAGCTAGCACCTTCAGCTGTTGGACGAAATACGACTGCGACACCCTGTGCTCGTTTCTTTTTATAAGTAACCAACGTAAATGGCTCATCTTCGCCCATGTCTTCTTCATCACTTAGGTAATAGGTTGACGTTTTATCGTCGAGAGGATTCTCTTCTAAGCGAAGCTTCTTGCTCTCCGCTTCATTGTCTTCCATTGATGCTGTGTTCGCTGGAGCCATTTCGCGGTTGTGAATGAGCAAACGTGCCGGCTTTATGATGCTTGGACGCACCTGTAAGCCCCCAGGCTTTTCATTGTGTCCTGCAGTATCACTCATGTGGTTTAACGCACTTGGACGAGCATAAGGCTCGTGGCGATGGCTACCAACCACCGTAGTGGTCACGTACTAGCCAAGTCTTTGATAAAGGAACCTCGTACCTGTAGGGCGCCGAGCCCTCGAAGTCTTCACCCGACGTCTTGTTGGCACACCGCGAAGAAATGGATGTCAGCGTAATAGTCCAAGAAAAGAGCAGAAATTAAACAGTGCACAGAAACAGCGACTCATAATTGCTTTTTAATTGACAATCGCCAAGTATGAAAGCTGAAAATTGATCAATATTAAATGGCGCTGCAGATGGGGTTGGCCGTTTCAGGTATTTTTTCGTTAAAGGAGTTTAGAAAAATAAAACTAGCGTACGGCGGACAAACAGACAAATGTTCAGGCAGACAAACAAAAATGATTGGATTGAAGTATCCTAAGAACGACTATCGTCTTTAAAAGTCATCCTCCGTACCGTTGTTCATCACACTTCGTGGTTCATCAGCAGCGCTCACCGACGCAGGCAGTCCGCGCAGCTGCCGTGCCGCGTTTCCCGGCATGCCGCGGTCCGATTACAAGTGGCGGACGGCCCGCGCTTCTACTGGGGGGCGCAGCCAGCTTCACACTCTAGTTCTGGCGCTGTAGTGTGTTTAGAATAAGTGGGTAACGATCTAGAGTACTAGGTACTCTACTATGGGAGAGCATAAAGCCGTCCCGATTACTTAGCGCTGTTGTAGAGCGTAGTGACACGAGCGCTGTAGTGTGGACGTTCCTGCATCGCCTGTGACAAGCTGTGGTTTGACTCTACTTTGTCTACGCTAGGAAATAAATACCTTGCACCAGCCGAAAAGGCCGCGTTATGCATGCTCCTGAGATCAACTATATAGCTTCACTGTTTTGTAATCTTTGAACCCGTACGCTTTGCAAGTGTAAAATTCTATCTTTTTATTGCGGTTAATTTATTCACAAGACCAGCATCGTGTACAAAACTAATGAATAATACTGTGTCAGCTGTATTGAAAAACGTCGTATATGCATTATGTATGACAAATATAGATGTCGACAATGGCAATATTTTTATTCTTGATGTTTCTTTTAGTGAGGTGAAGGCACAGTTTAAAGAGTTTTAAGCTATAATAAAAAGAAAATGAAAAGGAACAAATAGAAGATGTTTTGATGTTCCGTAACGAGCTTCACTACTCATTAGTGAGTTCGCCACAGAAGTGTTTCAACGGTATGGTGGTGGGGCGTGTGTGAACATATTTGTCATCTGTGGCAATACAGGGATATTATTTATGGTTCATTTATTCTATTACACTTGTTTGTGAACAACTTTCTGACGTTTTGATGCTTCTAGATATCTTACACTGACATCGTGTTGTGATATCCCCTAATATTATAAAACGCTTTCACCTGCATTTTCAATTATGTGATATCCCGATGGGTGCGACAATGTTCCAGATATGTCTGGAAGGAACTTTATTCTAAGAGAACCCTATGATTCATCTCTGATTAGAGCCAACTAAGAGTTGGCAGTATACTATCACCAAGTGTGAGTATTGTAGAAAAAAAACGCCAGCAGAGCGGGAAAGCACCGAAGAGGGTTGACACGGACCAGCGCTGGTCTGTGTCAGCTCTCTTTTGTATATTCATGCTAATGCCCGCGCTGTTGAAATTTTTTCGACAATGAACTACCAATTCGCTTTAACACTCACGTCAATCGGTTATATATTGAGAACGAAACGAAAACAGTGTTTTAAGTGCTAGAACCCCAGCACCAAATAGGAAGAGTTCCTTTATGGTTGCGTGCACATGATATATGAATGGTGCCCCTACATGGCGCTTAACTGTAAGAAATAGGCTCGGAAGTTTCGTGCCGCTAATTGTAGCTTTTTCCTGTATTGTCTTGCGGCCTTTGAAGAGGAAACTGATTCACTGATTGAATAATATTTATATTTATTTATTTATTTATTTATTGACCGACTGACCGACCGACCGACCAACTGGTTGATTAATTGATTGACTAAACTCTGGTTAAAGTGGCAGTGTAGCAACTGTGAAAAAAAAAAGGCCCTGTTACGGTCCCCAGCAGTGTTCTTTCAGTATCCAAACATGAAACAACTACGCACCTATTTTGTCGAGAATGTGTCTAGTTTGTTCCTTCTTGAAATATTTCAAAACACCCTTGAGGACGTTCTTGTCTTTCACATAGCCGATGGACAGCAGGACGTTCACCATGTACTGCGGTTGCACTTGCATACGAAGTGACCAGGATACAGTAGGCCAAAAAAGAAAAAAAAAATGCATCACATATTACTCATTCTGTGCTGAAAACAAATGCATTGATAACCGAGTCATTGCCTTTGGCGGGTTAACAAGCAGCAAAATATTTGTAGAAGTTACCAATACACACTTTTAATAAGCTGCTGTCCCGTTCAAGGGAGATATTCTGTAGACAACTCACTGTTAATTGCAAGGATTGAGCTCCTACTGATCTTCAAATGCCAATCTGCTGGCCAGCAAATCAGCTTTATTTTTTGTTAAGTAAAACTTGAAAGAGAGATTCACCCTCTCACGCTACACCATCGCTTTTCGCGTCATAGACTCTATGCGCTCACAATATGTACTAAAGAGCACAAAATTCACTCTAAACGTAACAGAAGTAGACAGTGCGATAGATGGTGTAAGTGATTAACAATAATCTGTAGTATACAGATATTATTATATGCAAGTTTTTAAAAGTAATTAGAATGTTTCGAATTTCATTGAACCCGCAACTAGCCTTTGGATATGTGGTCCAACCAGCCTTGGCATTTCAGTATTCTACGCCTGCAAACGAAGAATTGAACTGTATTCAATTAAACGTAGCCAAACGTAAAGCATATCAGGTATCAACGCATATTCAAATCGCGTAAGGCTGAAGCTTTCAGTCTGTCTAATAACTTGGTTAAAAAAAATAAATTCTTGTGCAGTAGAGGTTGACATATATCATCAGAGGCTATATAGCAAACGTTGAGACAAAAGCTCCTCTATAAAATTTAATATTGCGTCAAATGTAATAATTTTAATTATTGCTTACATTCCTTCAGGGGACACCTTTAGAAACGTATGATTGTAGCGTAGCAGGACCAAATGAGTACTTTTTCACAATGAACTGTTTTTTGAGTTTGTAGTACCTGTACTATATGACGCGTTGTCATTGTAATCACAACCCTTAAAACTTTTTACTTGTTCAGCAAACGTAACTGTTTTTTTTAACGAGGCAGGTGTAATGAACTTCGTTTGAAAATACCTCGTGTGCTACATTTGTCTTCGTACATTTCGATGTACGAAGACAAATGTCTTCGTACATTTGTCTTCGTACAAAAAAAAAAACACCCCCCCCCCAAAAAAAAAAAAAAACATTCCCGGTACGGCCCAGGCTACTGCTACAAAAGCTCTCGTCTTCGAGTTGGCATAGCTCGACTATTTTGTCAGAAGAATAGCGTTTGAGGCTAAATAGCTATTCAATACCCTCGAAGGTTATAGCGCAAAGAAAAAAGGACGAGAGCGTAGAGCAGAGCTTAACAGCCATAGATATTTTGGATATTTCGGGGACCTCTTGTGGACTTGTGGAAGTGGTACGGAAGTCCTTGCAGTGAGAAATATGGGGGAGGGGGCGAAGGTGGTTATAGTTCAACTCAACATTCCCCTTGAAGTAGGCCTCTTATGTTGTTGTTGTTTTTTTTTTTCTGAGAAGAGAATCGCAAGGCTAATGTGCGAATGTGCGACACCAATTCGATTTCAACAGCTTGCCTATAAGCTGTGCGCGGTGTGCAGCCACATTGAACCTGTTTCTAGCTGTTTTACCTTCAAGTATGCAAGCATGGAAAAAAGCATGCTCGCGTCCGTATGTCATAGAAGATTGTAACAAAAGCTTTACCACCATCTCACAGAGAAGGGAAAAAATAAGTCAGCTCCGACGCACTACGAACGTGTTATGCGGCTAAGCAGTCCAAAAAAATAAGGAAGCCCTACTTCCACGGGACATACAAGTGGATCTCCGAAAAACACTTTCTTTTTTTTTTTTGCCGAAGATTTGTTCCGTGTATATCTCTGAATGGGCTGGTGCCTGTATATTAGCGCCTGCACGTGACTTGCCCATGCCACCTAATCTTCGTGGCATAACTGTGCAATTTATTTTCTTTATGGAATTGAACAACCGCGTTGCGAGCGTGCATAGATGCAAGGGGCACTCACCACCTTCCCATAGGTGCTTCCAGAGTTTCGCCGCCAGAGTTAGGCCGGCTTTCTTCTTCGCTGATGACCTGAGCTTGCTTGTCTTCAAGTCCATAATTAGTAGAATCACCTTTCCTTTGTACCTTGAATCGGCTGAAAAAGGCACGAGTAACGTATGCTTTATCATGAGCACACGTGGATCAGGAATCATCCGAGAGGTACAGCATGAGGAGTTATATTGGACCTTGGCGTTATTGTCGTCAACTGAGAGTGCTTTCTGCTTTGGATGAAGAAATAACACACTTGATGATGATGATGATGATGATGAGCACACGCAGATAAGGAATCATGCGAGAGGTACAGCATGAGGAGTTATATTGAACCTTGGCGTTATTGTCGTCAACTGAGAGTGCTTTCTGCTTTGGATGAAGAAATAACACACTTGATGATGATGATGATGATGATGATGATGATGATGATGATGAACCTTCAGCTTTGCTGGCACTCGCCCACAAAGGGTGATCGGCCAAGAACCAGGCGGCAGGATCACCGAGTGTGCTAAGTCAGGCATTCAGGTAGTCTCGTAGCCGCAGATAATAACAATAGGCTAACAGGGTAACCTCTTTGTTGCCCTCATGTACTCGCACACAGCAGAAAAAACTTCCCTGTGGCTATAATCTAATGTAATCCCTCCGAAGGATAACACACTTCGCTGTCTAATACACCACAATGTGTCGTCTTCTTTCTTGCCCGTGCATGCTCGCGCGGGTAGTGCACTGTCATACCTCTATCGATGAGCGACGCACGGTGTCTAATAAATAAGCTGAGCTGTCAGCTGTCTAAGAAAACATGGTTCGAAAATGGTGCGCAAAACTCTCTGTTGTATAACATTGATCCCGGTAGAGAATTTAATATTCCGTTAAAGGTTAGCCGATCGGTAGAAACAGTCATCCATAGGCTTCGACTTGGTACAGCCTACACGAAGGCTTTTTTGTATAGAATAAGGAATGCTGGCAGTCCTACCTGCTCATGTGGAGAATCTCAAGAAGATGTGGAGCACATTCTTCTGCATTGTTAAAAATCATGACGTGCCTCGAACGAACCTTTTTTGAAAACTTGATTCTTTGAATAAGCGACCTCCATCAATTGCAAAACTCTTGAGTCCATGGCCAAAAGGAAAGCTAAAAGCCACTGCAGCGCGTGCAGTCGTTCACTTTTTGGAGGAATCAAAAATAGCTCAAAAGTACTAAACAAAAAACAAATCCACTTCACTGTTAACCGTGGTATGTTTCAAAACAGTATTTTCGTGTTTCACTACGATATTTTTGGGCAATCCTTTCTGAAAACAGTTCAGTATTTAGGCGACAAGATCACCTTAGACATTTTATTGAACTTTCATGTTTTGTGTGCACACTTACATTGGCATGATTACTTGTGTTTTTGAAAACTCAGGGTGGTGCGGACACATTTCTACGTAGTGTGGGAATTTCTGTGTGGTGTGGACACTCAGTGTTGAAAAACGTGAACTCATTGTGTAAGTGCTGTGCTATGTACATATGTATAGCCTTGCGTTTGCCACAAAATGTGCGATGTTGACTTTTGTGCGAGAGAACAGGAGTAGCCGGCGCCACGCATTGGCACCAACCTCTCCTTACATACATTTAATTTAAAAAAAAGGCGAAAGGCTTAATTTACTTTAGCATCGAATGAGAAATTTTCCCCTTCGACGCCAAGTCAAGTAATTTCAAAAAATCATCATTACGTGGTGGCGTCCCGGATCACCGTGTTTCGTGACATCATCGTGACTTCACCATGCTGCCCCATAACGTGACGTCATTTGACGACGTCATGACATGACATCGTCGCTCAGCCAAATGTAAGCCAATAACAGAGGCAATGCAACTATTTATGTTCAGAATTCTTCGGAGGGGAGCTGGCCCCGGGGAGAATCAAGAGTGAGAAAAAAAAAAACATCGCTCTCACCTTCGAGTAGTCTCAAGCAGATGCGCAAGGAACCTTGCGAGTTCTTTTGTTCTTTTTTTCTCTCTTCGAATAATTACAATAAAGGCAAAGTAAGCGTAACCACGAATATGTATTGTGACTTAAGGCCTTTTTTTCTCTCGTGGCACATTCATTTTGTTTGCGACCTATTAGTTCTGCCATTCATCCATACTCTTGGTTCTCACCCTCCTCACTGGTGTGTACGAAATGGCACTACCGGGTTCTCATAACATTGACTTCTCCAAGTTTATTTCGTTTAACCCGAAGGAAAATGTTTATTAAGGTTTTGTTTTCTTACTTGCGAAGAGAATGGTATAAAGCAGCAGTCTGCGAAGCTGCGTTTGGCAAACACAACACTTTCCAATATGGTGCCGTACACAACGTATTTACCGGCTTAATTCTCTTCCTTTAACGATGCTTGTGAAGGTTTGCCGAATTCTTCGTTTTTGTTATGCAAGTTTTCATGGCAGACTCATGAAAAATATGCCGGCCCCCATTGTAAAGTTTGATCTCTACATATCTCACAATGGAACAATACATGACATGTATACAATCCCTTCTGTTAGGTTGGTATAAACGAGTTTCTCAAAACGAAATTTGCGGGCAGGTAAATATAGATATAACTCCTCATGTGGGGAGGTATATTTATATGTAGCTGCATCTTAGCAGTATTTACCTATGGAGCAGAAACATGGAGGATTAGAAAGATGGTTTAATTTTTTGAGAACGACGCAGCGAGCAAGGGAAATGGAAATGAAAATGATAGGTTTAGCCCTAAAAAAATGGTCCTGGGCAGGGGACGTAGCGCGAAGGCAAGAAAACCGCTGGTTATTAATGACCACAGAATCACAGACTGGATCCCGAGAGAAGACAAGCGGGTGAAGGGGACACAGAAAGTTAGGTGGGCAGATAAGATTAGGAAATTTGGGGTTGGAAAGTGACAGCAGCAAGCACATGACCGAGTTGACTGGCAGAACACAGGAGATGCCTTTGTCCTGCAGTGGGCTTAGTCAGGCTAATGATGACGACGACGATGACGACGACGACGATGATGATGATGATATGTAAAAAACATGGATCCAGAAAACACAGAGCCAGATTCGTAAAACCGCGACCAGTGACATCTAAGTAGAACAGATCATTGCGTACTCGTCCCTGCTGCTCTTGCAACAGTTGGTTGTCACATCTAAGTGTAGGTGACATCATATGCGTTATATTTTGTCGCTAACATCGAAACATGTGTGCTTTAGGACGGCAGCAAACTCACCGAAACTAGTTCCATCTCGAATGTATTCCAAATAGTCCGCGATGGTTTCGCGCTTGAAGCAGCCACGAAAGCAGTCGCAAGGGGCGCCGTGAAACGTTCCAAGAACGGTGCCATTATTCGCAAACTCAATGTCAACCTCGAGTGCGTTGGCCCCCATTTCAATGAAGTCGTCCACCTCGTCCAGTGAATTCACCATGTGGCCGATGACGTAGAAGGGCCTCCTGGATTCCACGGTCACCTGCAAAGTCGCAGACCTATAGTTTCCCTGTTAATGTTCGGCCGTGACGTGTTTCTTCGCGTTTAGAAGTAGGGACGTGGATGTAGTGGCTGTTGTTCTATTAATATCTTTCACTGAATACGTATTTCTACAAACTTCAGCTTAGCGAACAAATTCTGTATATGGAGATTTAACTGCTAATATTGAGACTAATGCTCAGAATACAAAAAGATTGATGTATAAATGTGATAGAAAGACGCGGTTCTGGAAACCGAGCTTAGTCGTATTGCTGACGTATTCTTACGACGACGAACCAAAGGTTGATCCTTCCTTTTTTTTCTTTTCAGGAGTTCTATGCGCCGAAAACGATGTGAAAATTGTGATTGCGTGTTACCATTATTGTTTCTATTATTTCCCGCCCTCCTATTTCGAAATAAAAAGAGAAACAACCGACCCCGAGCACATTGACAGCAGAATAAATAGGTCCACGACTGCTGCGCACAGACTGAAGTATAGAATCAGCGGCCGTTTTTACATGGTATATCACTGGTACATTTGTCCTAACTTTTCGCGCCACGGTCGAGTTCCAGAATGGATGGTTGAATGAATGTTTACACTATATTCATCCTTACCATGGGTCTCTGACTTGTGAGCCACTAAGCTCTATTTTTGTTTCTGTCTCATGGTTTGCTTATCCAGATTTTAATTCTTTTTTATTTTGTCTGGACTTTGAATACATTTATTCTTACTTTTATTTCAAGCCACTTGTACCATATAAGTACTAATATTTGAAACAATGGTAGGAATTCAAGCAAAGGCCAAAAGGAGAGATAGAGAGTGCGAATCCAGGGATGCTCAACCACATGACAAAATACGTGGCCGCAGCGTTGATGCTTCTACTCTATACGAAATGACGAACTAAAACGGGAAATGATTCAAAATCGACCGTTGCATATCAAGGGGGGTGAATAGGTTGCGGAGGGATGGAGGGAGCCCCCCTCCCCTTTCCCGTAAAACTTTGGCGTTCGTTTTGTGATTGTAAACACGAAAAGGCACACAACCACACGCACAAACCGACATATAAAGGCGTCAGACTTCTTCCAAACCCCACGAAAAATGTTATCGCTATGCTCCTACATAATACAGGAATGTCGTCACAGCCTCTAATATCTACTTGCTCGTTCTAAAAGACTGAGTGTGCACTCTCAATTATTGTTCTTTGCCCACAGCATTACCGGTTTTGGTTTCTGACCTTCATGAATAAGCGCCATTGAAAGTCAAACCGGAACCTTTTGAGGAGCTAGTTGGTTTATTTCAATGGAGGAAAATGATTTCGTGAAACTTGAAAGGGACGCCACAAAGAACAAATTGTGCTCAATCTATTCGTGTGTCTTCTTTGTGGTGTCTTTTTCAAGTTTCGCGGAATTATTTTCCTGCATTGAAGATCAAACGGCTTCGATTGCCATAATGGAAAGTGACGTGGATGACAAACTCAAGCGGGGTACTCACATTATGCCTTGGTGCTTCCTCTGAAGTTTCTCGCATTATATTGTGCCTTACCACGTTGCTTAATACAACAAAATAGAAATTTATCAACAGAAAGTAAATGAAAAACAATGTCGTAATTTTCATCGTTGTGGATGCTGAAAGAAGAAAAGAAACATTGCCGTTTCCATTTATGCTTTTTTTAGCATGTAATCTTAAGCAAATCATAGTGTTCTACGTAGCTAACTCTTTTGACTTCGTTATCAGATATCATGGAGAATCAGTCTTTTATCGAAATTTTAAAACAAAGTAGAATATAAAAAGAAAGTGATTGTGAAAAGATAAACATTAGTACACAAAATCGGAGAAGGGGGGATTGATCGAAAGCCAACTTCTTTTTTTTTTCTTAGGCAAGACCTCATGAAAATAAGAAGCAATGAAGCTAACGAGGGGAGAGATGACAAAACTTGTGCGCTATAACTTTTAGTTTTCTTGTATTTCAGCTGTGGTAAAGAAATCACGACATAAATGGAAACAAATCAAAGTGGATGAAAAATCAAAGCAGCTTCGCACTAGGGGTGCCAGGCCTAAAGAAGTTCTGGGCAGCCTTCTTTGTTCGTCTTTGGTCTGTTTCCTCCATTTCATTTCCTTTTTTTCTCGCCTTCGGTCTTTATCTTTATTTTTATTTATTTCTTCCTCCCTCTTTAGTTAATCCTTTCTCTTTATTGCACTTTCTATTTTTCTTCATTGTTCTTTTCTTTCTCTGTATTTCAACTTCTTGTTTGCTTCCTCTTTTTTTTTCTATTCCTATACGAGATTTCACCCATGCTACGCTGTGCTACGACAGCATACGATGGCAGGATACGACAGTATACAACAGACTGTCCTCCATGATAGCGGAGTCCAGTGCCTCCTAGATAGCGGAGTCGAGGCACAGGCCAGTGCCTCCTAGATAGCGGAGTCGTTGCACAGGCGCCCGATCTTTATCTGCGGCAAGTTGGTGTTGAGTGCTCCGCTCTTGAAACCTGCTTGCCATAAGTAAGGACCCAACCTTGTATGTCGGGTCCTTGATGTCAGTATTTTGACTTCTCGTATATGCCGTTATACTGCCGTTAAAACACAGCAGTAATGTCCCCTATAGATTTCTTAGCTTCGTTGTCTGTTGGTTTCTCCCATTCTCCAACTCCGGTGCAGACCTGCATACCGGATATCACCTTCTGCTTCATTTTACGTTGCCACTGTTTGCCTTCGCTTATTGCTTATGCAACGTGACTTGGAAGTAAGACATATAATGTTCGGAATATGCGTTTTTTGTTATTTATTGGGGCTTTTGATATCTGATACTAATATGAGTCTCTTGCAGCCACGCTCGATACACATTCGCCTTTCCATTTTCTGCCTCACTTTGACAATCGGCGCCTGTTGCCGAAACTGCTTTCAGTTTTGGTGGTAGATGGTCGCATAAACAGTGGTTTCGCGCACCTTTGTTAGGTAGCGTTCTCACTGCAGTGCGTATTTTGCAGCAATCTCTCGTCCGATAGGTACGGGTAAGTACTATAAAGGGGCCGATTTTACAATTTTAAGCTCTCCTCTGATCCTCTTTACTTCAAGAACTTTTTATTCCAGTTTTCTGCGCAAGGCGGCGAGCATATTTGGGTCGTTTGAAAACAGGAGTGTTATCTGCAGGGATTGAGAGCATTCGGGCATGATTTATAACGTATGCTTTTTCACGGCCAAGACGACAACAGTGTTGTGCCGGCGTCGTTCGTATTTTTTTCAGACGAGGATCTAAGAAGTAATAGACGGACGTCAGTGTTCAAGGCGAAAGATATTTTCTCAAGGTATACTGTAGCTACAAGGTGGCAGGTACTTGCTGGATCTTTAATTGCTGGTATGGTTTGGTTAAAAATTCATCTTTCACTAGTAATCTCTAATTGGACATCTCACTAAATAAGAAGACACAGGCTGCATTCCTGTAAAGGAATGAGTAGTCGCGGGAAAATAATCACGTTTGCGTAGCTAGAAAAGGCATTTATACGTACAGAGTACGCTTTTGTTTCAGGAGCTGTGTTGGGTAAGAAACATAATTAGGGTATGAGGAAAATTTTACTGCTCACAGCTGGCTGTCAGTTCTTCACTGGCGTTTCTAAAAAGGTGATGTGCGTTTTTGGCAGATAAACTGGCTATAAGGCACAAAAAGCTAAAAAGGAAACTACTCATGTGTTTTCAAATATTTTCTAAAAACGATGCAGAACTACAGACTAGGTGGAACTGTACATATAGTCTATTTTTGTGGTATATATTTTTCACACTGCCTTATATAGATTAATAGAGCATGCAGACGTAATGTTGATGGAAAAAAATTCAGCAGAAAGCAGAAAAGAGTTTGAGAAAACTCTGATGAATAACTTGTTTCATTTCGTCGCACATCTCCTTACGGCGCCTAATTATTTTAGTAGCTGAATGAAAGTAGTGGAGGCTTCTTAAGACCCGTTCACATTTCCGTATTTCAAAGCAGAGTAAATTATATATATATATATATATATATATATATATATATATATATATATATATATATATATATATATATATATATATATATATATATATATATATATATATATATATATTTGCTTACGTACCACCAGTAAAACTCAGTTTGAAGGGGCAGCAAACGCAAAACGAAATGGCATATTTTTCTGCATAATCATCCCGGTAATCTTTAGTAATATACACTATGTTAGGTATATCAAACAATTAGGTACTGTAATATAAAAATGACATCCGCTCGTAATGATATGACAGGGGCAGTAACAGTGCACGCTCATATACATATGCGTAATTTTCACACCACAAACTGCCCTTGAAATACAGAACAGATGCACTCACCATTCGTTCACAATAACATTGTTATAGTGTCACGTGGCACAGGGAGGAAGTCCTGCGAAGCAGCGAATACAGTGTTTCTTACCTGCAACACTGCGCTGGCATACGCGAAACTATGAACAGGGACTTCTTGTCCCTGTAGTTTTAGGAAGAGTTTTCTATTTCACCTGCACCTTTCATATGTCTAATAGCTGGACGTAATAAACACTGCCTATTGTGACGGGCATGGAAACAAGCTCATCACATGCATTGTTTTCTAACATATGAAGGAAAGACGGGCGTATGTCATGCCCGAAGACAGCTGCTGTAGGCATCAGTATATTTTTCAACTGTCCACCTAATCTATCTCCGTTGTAGGAGAACCAGCTGTACACTTTCTGAGGGTGCATAAGCTTTTATTGGTGCAAGGTTTTGTTCTGAGATTGCGTACGAATAGAATTTGAAGTGGGCAGGTGGTTGGTTTTGTTCACGGATCAGTGCTCGACTTCAATTGCTACAGTTTTGTTCAATGGCTGTCATGTCTCTTTTTGCATGAATGTGAAGTGGACGACTGCCCGAAAGAGCTGGCGATGTATACTTTTTTCGCGAGAAGCCTTTTTCGCCTTCTGCTAACATTCCTATTAGGGTCACCTCAACGCTGGGCTAAGAAGCGGAAGAGATGATCTCTGGTATAGCAGAAATTTCTTTGCGTGGGCTGATTTGGCTATAGCTCATGACAATTGCGCTTTTTTGTTATGTTACCTATCTTCCCTATAGCAAGCACTTGTATGTTTTCACCAATGTATAGCAAAAGTATAACGTATCTTTTGGATATATGTGTCCGTAGCTAGTCTCTTGCTTTCGGATTACTATGTTCTGAACCCTGATTCGGAATCGATTCCTCGCAAAAGCCCAAATGACCAAACTCTAGTATTTCAAATAAAACAAAATATTTTGTTCACTCTCCGGCAGCTCACATATTGTAACATCTGATGAAATGCACAGTTGAGATAATGTTTTTCAACCCGATAAAAATGACATTTTGTCTGTTAGTTATTACCCGAGTGTCATTGACATAACATTGGACGAATACATGTGTTGAGTAGGTAGAGTAAAAGAAGAAAACACGGTGTTTTTGTTTAATGAAAAACACTAATCGTTCAGTAAACACAAACGCACAAGTATGAGAAGTAACAATGTTTATTTACAGTCGGTTCGGTCGAACTGGAAGGCATGCACTCGCCAAAAAGTAGCGTGGATGTGGTGCGGTCACTATAGAAATGACCAGTTGTTCGATACGTGACGCGGTAGCCGGGGACTGCATCATCATGTATTGTTATCACCTTGTTGGCAGATGACAGTATGCAAGTCTCTCTGTTCCGTGAGATGCAGTTACATGCTCGCATGATTCGTCACAATAAATACTAAATAAATAAACTGTACAAAAGTTCGTAGAACGAAGCGACACCGATTGTCTGTCCCGTGCCTCGCAATCTCATCGCGCTGCAATCGCGTAGGCACGGTTGCCCAGGCATAGCTGTGAACCGATTTCAGCGTTGTGACTGGTGATGGAAAACTCAATTCTTTATAGATAAGACTGCTGCAAACTGCTTGATGTCGAAGCGATCTATTATCTGTTACTCAAATGCGGACGACACACTGGGAAAGGTAGCACAAAAAATACTGCGCAAAAGTTTTGATCGACTAATCTCAAGGCCATAGTTCGTTTACAAGTTAGGTGCTAGTAGCATTGACGCAGAGTCGTGGGCATGTTCGGCTTTGTATCGTTTGCTGATCAGTCTATCCTTTCATTGACGTAAAGCTAACTTGAAATAGCATCTTGGAACTCTTTTCCGTGGCCTTCGATCCTTCATCGTGCCTCCGTTCATAACTACGCCTCAAAGCTATTCTATGAAGTGCAAAATGTGAAACAAATGAAAAAGCATCATCTTCGAGTAAAGAACTAGATATATAAGGCTACCAAATACAGAATGACTACTTGTGTGTAAACAAATTCTTAACTTTATATTATCCAGAGCATCTATTGATTAGTACCAGTGCGATGCGGAGACGTAGAGGTATCTACCCCAACAATTATGAGAACTGCTGTACTTGAGGTACATCGGTTTCGCTCTTATACATCAGCGCTACATCTCAACGAACAGTGCTCACCGGGCAGCATTCACTCGACTGGGCTCTCGGGGTGTAGAAACGTCCACATACCTCCATTATTACGGCTTTTCCTCACACCAGGTGTAGGCAGCAGAGATAAAAATGCGAATGGACTGTTTACTCTTCAAATGATTGTGTTCAAAACAATTGGATGTATGAACACACAATGGGTGTAATTTGTGGCACGTTCGGAATGATGCAATGAGCTGCTGTTACGCAAAATAAGTGCTTAAACCAAAAACTCTAAGACGGCAATCTAGTTAACCGACGGATGTATGGATTCCTGCCTGTTATTACGAATCACAAAACATTCGCGGACTTCTGGTTTCGACTACGTCCTTAATGGTTTTCGAAAGACTACTCAGATATTGAAGCAACTGTACGTACAATACATTAAAGGCTTTCCGTAGATTCAAGTCACAATGGCACGCTGCGTTCACGGTGGGCTACATTTCAGGAAAGAAATAAATAAACAAGCGCTTTTCAATAGCGGTGCTTCTGACCTGAACGTGACTGGTGATTGCCGTTTGTCACGGGGAGGCTTTAGATAGCTTGCTGAAAGCTACGAGACTGTTGGGCAGACCTGGACAACTGTCGATAACGGCTGGGCTCTCCACTGTATAGCTGCCTACCGGGTGACTTAACTTGTACCGTTCGCGCCATTTCGTCTGCAGTCGTTTGCACAATTCAGGCGACCAGCTTTTTGTGAAGCCACCTGTAGTACCGCTGCTCCTGCAGTTCCCGTGGGCTCATGGGAGGGTCCGCCTCGGCGGCGTCGTAGTCTCGTGAGCTGCGCCGGCGGAAAATGTGTCCCGAAAATCGCGTGACCACGTAAGCCCAGAACTGCTGCAGCACCTCGGACACGTTGCCCAGGACGGTGGAGATGGGACTTCCGCCGCCGCCGGGCATGAGAAGTTCAATGCTAGCCTTCTTCCAGGGCGTGTCTTGCGGACTGGCCAGCTTGACGGCCCGCTTGAAGGGAGCCTCCATGAGGACGGTAGACACTCTTTCCGGGTAGTTGGTTATGATACCGTCCACTCCGAGTCTGCATGCAAAAGAGAGTGCAAAAACTACACAGGTGAATAAGCGTCCTTTTTTCTGGTTGCGTATTGTCACAACCAAAATTCAACGGTGAGCGTTCGAAAGAAGTAGAGTAAAAACATGTACCCGTTAGTTTGTTTACGCAACACCGGGAAGCTCACGCTTGAAGAACGAAATAGTTTCTAATAATAAAAGAAGCAGGTTGGGTGGTGCTGAAACTCTGGATTTTGAAACTTAAAGAAAATGAACGAATGCACTAAATGATGTCGTACTGCAAGTGATTTATGCCCTATTTACAGTTGCTGTTTTGAAACAGGCAGCTAGGCAGCTAGATGTGCATGAGGCAAGTCATTCTCGCCAAAATCAATAGCGTACTGTTTGATAATCGTAATTTGCTGTCTGTGCTGCCGTATAAGTGAAAATGTCCTGGGTTTTAAATTTACTTAGCGTCGTTTGTGCCTGTAGAGCCGATGTGAAATCCAAGAGCGTGTTGATATATCCAATGTAGAAATCGCTGCAAACAACATTCAATATAGAGAGCGTATCATACCGTATGGAATTGCGAATGGCAGAGCTGAGGTCGATGGTCCAGTGGTACACCTTGTCAGCGTAGCTGCGATCACTGCGGGAGTCCCGATAGCGCAGGGCTTGCTTGAGACGGTTGGTCGGTCGGAAGAGGCTGATGCAGTTGGAAACACCGTCGCCCTGCCATCGGTTGTGGTCGATGCCCAGCTCACTGTACATTTTGGATATGTCTTCCAGCGGATCATTAAGGCCCACGTCAAAGCCTGCACGAAGAATCACAAATCGATCGCATAATTTCTCGCGCTGCTTTAACGACGAATGTCGCCAGCTCTATGTGGTAATCTTCTTTACTTTGAAATGCCAAACTTGGTCCATCCATCCAGACGACTTATTGTTTATGTTATATTGCAATATTGTAGTCTTTTTTTCAGGTATCCGTTTTCAGTACCTATGTATACATAATGTCGGTATGCTCTTCTTATTTTAGTTTCGTGGTTTTGCGCATGCAGGAATATATTTATGCATCTGCTAATACACTAACGCTGTGCTACGAAGACGACCTTGACCTTCATGCTGATACAATGACACGCGCGTGACTTAGTCTGCCAAGATGTCAGACACTTCGCTATAAAATACCTGATGTGACCAGTCTAATATTTTTATACTAATACACTTGTATTATGTGAAAATTGTACTTAAATGACAATGAAGAACTTGGAACAAGTATAGATCAATATAAATTAACTAGACCATGCTCCTGGCCGTCGGGCATTTGATATGCCATGCCATTAAAATGGTGAGCAGGTCCGGTTCTGTGCTTTGGTGAGCATCAAAAGCATTAGCGCATAAATCAGCTTACGTGAAAGATACACAAGTATAGAAGAAACACAACAGAAGTTAAGGAACTCACCTACTCGCTCAGCAATGATTGGATCACCATTCTTCATCAACGTCTCCACGACGCCCTTGAATACATCCTTGTCACTGACGTGCCCTATTGACAGCAGCACATTCACAGTGTTGTTTGGGTCGACTGCAAAAAAAAAAGGCATAAAGATGAAACACTTCTCTGACTTCATATGTGAAACTTCGGACGTAACAATATTCACGAGTATGAAGATCCGTGAACCGCCGCCGGTGAGTGTAATACCTGGCATTTACTTTGAGTGTAATGTTCTCAATTCAATGCTTTTTGAGCCGTTGTTTAGCGTGTCACTAAAGTGTCGGGAAAAGCTCTTAGTAGCAGTGCTTAAACTTCATCTTTCACAATTAAAAGCACCGTAGTAACGCCTAGCAGACATCTTTTGTTCAACGTGTTTCTATTTGTTTCAATGGGAACTGATGTTCCAAAACCGAATATGTTCATTATTAGCTTATTTTAATCTACCTCTAATTGTATATAATGAACAACGCCGAGTTTTCGCTAACAACTAATGACGCCAACACCGAGACTGAAATTTCTGTGAAACGAGCTATTTAAAGCTATCCCGTTAAAAATATAAGCAGTATGAATATCAAAGATATATCAGATTATGTAGTTGATTAACTGCAAAAAAATATTTTCACTCTTGAAAAGTTTCTGCAAAAATGGCAACTGGCAATGTACGTTTGGACCATCTGTATAAATTTACATCGATCAGACGTTTCCAGAAAAAAAATTACGTAGAAAGAAAGACGAACAAATTAAGGCACGCACTACTGCAAGTACAATCAGTTTTCTTCGGCGCATGTACGCAGTAGGAAAAGTGAATTCCAGACAGGAAATGAAATATAACCGATTAGCTTGCATATTTGTAGCCTAAACTGCACACAACACAAGCTATGGCAGATTAGACTGGTCAAAAAAGACACGCCTCAGGAATCAATTTTTCGACCAGACGACATGCGGAACTATTGTATTCAGTGACACCTCTTATTCGACCGTTGCTGGTCACTTGAAATCACAAAATCTTGAAGTGTTGATCTCTTTCTTGTAATAGTAAAGTGTCTTTACGTCAAAACATTACTCAAGTTCACAGCAAAAAAATTGGATGACCCCTAAGCTTCATCGTTAATTGTTGAACGCGATAGCGAAATCCGGCCCCTAGTGCACCCGTCAACCGCTAAGCGCATACGTATCCCTATGTTTTGGTACATACACACGCACGCACACAAACACACACACAGTAGATTGGACCAGCGCGCGCTATTATCGCCTAATGGGCTCGTTTTCGTCGTGACACCTGTCGAACAAAATGCGCTAAAGGGACCCTGAAGCACTTCAAGTAACCATGGAAAATGAATTCACTAGAAGAGCTTATTGCCTCCCGAATTCAACACCGCGAAATTTCAAGAATCCGTGCAGTGGAAGTGTTGCTAGGTTTGTCGCATGCTGCAATTGCATTACCTCTTCTCTCGTCCCGACGAAAGCGCTGGAAGCTAAGCAGGGACGGGTGGCAGGGGAAAGAAACTACCGCGCCTGGTGACCTTGAGCACTTTTTTTTTCTTTCAATGCGCGCCTTTTCAGTGTGATCACGGGCGCACGTTTGGACAAGTAGCAGCCTCGCGTGGCTATCTCGGTAACTTGATTTTTCGGTCACAGATGCACAGACAATTTTTCGCTCACAACCAACGGGGCTGACGCCGGCGGCGGGTTTCCTGCTACACCAGCTCTATAATGCTATTGCGTTAAAACCAACGAATGTCTGCAAGTGAATCAGTTTTGTGGCATAGAACTTCAGCGTCCTTTGAGAACCATCCATCATGGCGCCAGTTCTCAAAATAAAGGCAATTGCTTAATCCGTCAAGTACATTGTTCTGCAACTGCATTTGCTCAGTACGACAGGTATAGACACAATGAAGGCAGCGATTGCCTCACCATACAATGACATAAAATAAGTGAACCCAAAGTTAATACTTTTAAATAAATAACTCGCGTTTCAGTACCGCATTTTTTCGTGTGTCTTCTCGCTTACGAATTGTGTTCTCGCAGTAAGAGTGGTGTTTATCGTACTGATGGTATTGTGAAATTGTAGTGTATTATAGTACTCTTTACCGTGCGTTTAAAGTGAAAGAAAGCCTTAGATGTCTCATCAAATACGAAAATTGACCTTCGGTGTTCCACGGTGGTGGTGTCAACACCCAGAGACAAAAAAATCATAAACTGATGACGTCCCCATATTACGTCAACATGACGACACCCAGCTTGACGTAACATCATGACGTCGTCGTTTGGTCAGAGATGGGTTGGTCGGGAGCCAGGTTAAAACCAGGTGAGGTGCTGGAGCAATTGCAAAACCCCGTTAGCAGCAGAAAGCTTTGAAAGGAGGGGGGTGGGGGAAATTAAGTAGACTGAGGAGATGAAGAAGTTGAATTTAGCTTTTGAGTCATCTCAGGTGAATTCATTGAGGACCCTGTCAGTCTTTCAATGGTTCGTGATTTTGAAAGGCTACACACCTTGTTCACTTATGTTGCTTTAGCTTTCGTTTACTTTCATAACTAGACTTCTGTGGTCGCCGAACAGTCATATATATTTCACCCAACATATCAGATTCGAATAGTGAGATACTTGTGGAACAAAAAAGGCGCAGCAAAAGGTAGTGCTTTGCGTCGAGTTGGCTGCCAAATCACATACCCCTCTCCCAAGCAACCCCAAGAAAAAAAGAGGCAAATGCAGCAGCATGTCTGCAATTCGAACTTTCTGTTATGCTGAAAGCCGGTCTCCGTTGCAATTTCGCAACCAGCTATGTCCCATAGATATATGATAAATGATGCAACAAAACACCCCGTCATTTCATACACAATTTTTGCAGCACATGTATAACATAGTCTACCATTAACGTTGCCCCCAATCGTCATCAAACAAGAAAAACATTAGCAAAATGAAGCAAGACGGTGTGCGACAAGAACCAACGTAACACGAGAAGTTACGCAGAGAACTGAGTATTAAACATCTTTTGAATTGGCGCAGAGCTGCATGTCAGCGTGTCTGTGCGAGACGGGGGGCTTTGAACAATTCGAGAGTGTGCGTGAATGAGGACAATAGTAAAATATTGAAGACCGTGACGACGATCGTACGACGGTGATTGCGTGCCATTTCACTCCGGCTTACGACACGTTGGTGTTTGGGTTATTCATGTGTACTAGATGTACGTCAGAGAAACATGAATTGTGCCGCCACGTGCATGTGCGCATACATGGAAGTTGGCCGGTTGTCATGTACCGTACCATATACCTGTGCACACAGTCAGAATCACAAGAAATTGTCACTTTTCACTAGATCTGAGGTTTCAAAGTATATAGGCCTGTGAATTCGACAGAAGACAAGATAACCAAGATACTTTTAAAGATAAAGCAGCGAAAATAACCCTGTCTGTGGCGACGTCACCACCCCCACAACAGCCGCCATAAAGCAGGGAAATATTTAATACTTTTAATAGTGGTTGTCATAAGGTCAAGTAATCAACATATAAAGTACATACAAATAAGATGCTGTTTTGACAGCTGATACGGTAAAACCTGTTCAGTCTGCGCTGGTTAAGTCACTATTTGTGCAAGCTATCTTGCATCAGACAGGGTTGCATAGAAGGCGTCACAGTAAACGATCACAAACGAGAGCGCACACCCACCGTTATACCACAGATGTTCGAGGAGCTTCTTGGAGATATCCTTTCCGGCCTTAAGCTTGCTAGGTGCAGGCAGGTCGGACACCTTCAGATCCAGGAAGAGCAGCGCCACCCGGTTCTTGTACTTTGCATCCGCTGTTCGAATGAAATGAAGTCAAAATTATCTGTTTATCACGCTGTCTCGCTCGGTGCTAAACCACTATCTCCCGTCAGTGCTTGGTCATGACGCGATCTCAAAGGTTGTCCACACTTTCGAACATAGTATGAACGTGAGTACCCTACGTGGTCCCTGCTTTGGAGAAGAAATCCTGCCTAAGGGTTTTCAAGTCCATTATCTGAATTCTACCACATATTCTCTGTACTCCGTGCCATACAACTGGTGCTACGCTTTCCAGGTTTTGTTTATTTTTGTTTATTTGATACCCACAGCGCCATAAGGCATTACAGGGGGGGGGGGGGGAATACAACATGATTACAAGACAGAACACAAGCTCAATTTGCGGCAAGTACAGTACAGCCTATCCAGATAGTATATAGGTTAGCGAGACTTCTCGCCGCAGATGCGTCCGTGCCACGCAATAACTCAATGATTCGGCCAACCAAGAAACCGCATTGTGGTCTCGTTAGTTTTTCTTCTTAGACTTAGAAATAAATAACGTTTTATGCCTTAGAAGTGAAAAAAAAACCCTGTCATGCGGTTGTCAGTAGGTTGTTCCAGATCACTTGACCTTTTTTTTTTGTTTTCATACAGTGGCCTTCATTATTAGCTCCGGCTGTGCGCTATCGGTACCACAGCTGCTACCAGAACTAACAGCGATTTCCGGTAGTGCGTAGCCGGAAACGATCGCGGAGGCCACGTTTGCAACGACGAAATCCAAGTGCGAGGCTGGCGGAGTTACACACTTTGCTGAGTGAATTTCTTGCGTAGCTTTCACAGATTGTTGCACCTGAAGTATGAACCGGTAGTATAAATATACAATCGGGCTACGTTTTTCTCCCGTGATCTAGTCAATTGTATAATGATATTTATTTTATTTATTTATTCAATACTGCAGACTCGAGGTCCAAGCAGGGTGGTAATACACATACAAATAAAATAATTGCGAAACGAAACAATGAAGGGCGAAGAAGGTTGTTTGGTAGGTTAGTTCATTCATCACATGTATTAGTAAGACAGTTCCATTCACATATGGTTCTTGGAAAGTACGAATACTTCAGTAGGTCTGTGCGAGCAAAATATGAGATCAAGGCCTTTCGGTAGTGGTGTCGGGTGGGCCGGCTACTAAGGGGTGTCAAATAAGGGGATGGGTCTAGAGCTATTTTTTTTTTTTTGTTCAAAAGTTGATCGAGGAATTCTAATCTAGCTTTTTGTCTTCGCATCTGCAGTAAGCGAATGTTGTTGGCTAGCATTAAATCTGAGGGTGAGTCTAACTTGGAGTACTTGTTGAATATAAATCTAACAACTTTTCTTTATAACGCTATTGCTCACACATTGAATTCACTATATCACATTGAATTCACTTGAACAGTCACGGCGGGCGGGCACCAACTTACGCGGGCCAGTCACTTTGCGTATGTACTCAAGGTAGTCGACGATGTTTTCACGCATGTAACAGTTGCGGAAGCAGTCGCAGGGACTCCCGTGGAACGTTTGTTTGGCCGTGCCGTCTCCCTGGAAGGTGACGTCGGCCTCGATAGCGTTGGCACCAAGCCGCAGGTACTGGTCCACCTCTTTGATGGAGTTCACCATGTGGGCGATGTTGAAGAACGGCCGTTCTAACTCTTCCAACCGGTTGGATGATGTGGGTCCTGCCACGGACATCTGCATAATTTTAGTTCGAAAATTATACCCAACTTCTGGTTTCCTGAGTACCCACAAAGCAAGAACAGGGAAATTTCGTAAGTCTGGTTAGACAGGCGAATCATTATTCTTATAGCATTATTCGGGTCGGAAACACATATCAAGCGTCAGTTTTAGATGTAGCAATAAAGTATATATTTAAATAATAATAATAATAATAATAATAATAATAATAATAATAATAATAATAATAATAATAATAATAATAATAATAATAATAATAATGATATGTGGGGTTTAACGTCCCAAAACCACTATATGATTATGAGAGACGCAAAATAATAATAATAATAATAATAATAATAATAATACCTTTTATTTCTTCAAATAAAACAGTACATGTGACTAGGCCTGCCAAAGCCAATTGATGGCTTGAGCGGCAGAGCCTGGCAGACAGCGAAACAAACCATTGAACGAAATAAGCGCACATTGCAGGCAATTCATGGTTACACTGTTTCATTAACGACTGAGTTTTTGTCACACGCGAGTGAAATCACTTCATTATGTGCATTACTTCCCTGTTTTTTATTCATTTTTAGATAAGAAGTGTCATTATTATTGAAAAAGCGAGACATGAAATTGTATTTTTTAATAAAGCTTCAGAAAAATTATGAATGGTTCGCGAGAGCTGTAATTGGTTTCGTGTCGTTGCTTTTCGAGTAAGATTATGCTTTTTTGTAGCAGTGAGATTTGTGACACTGCTTATAACACAGACACTAAAGTGAAACATCAAGAACTGAGCCCTACGCATCTTCAGATACGTTTTACAAAGTGTGCACTGAAGTGTATCATTATTCAGACAAGTTCAGATCATTGCATATTTTTTTATCCAGTTGCAAGCGGCAGTCTCCAAACTTCCGTATTCAAATTCTTCCACGCCCAGTTATCCCGCTATTTTAACAAAACATGCTGTTCGGCTAGTTAATTCAGACTGTGTAAACGATAACAACGCTACTCGAGGCGAAGAAACAAGAGATACTGGAAAAGGATCTTCCCTTGTTTTTTTCCACCTTGTATTGCGTCCTTACGTCTTGCACAGTGTCTATTTGCTCGTAATTTTTTTCGATTGCTTTAATATCCTGAACAGAGGCACCGCATCAACGGATGTGTGTACATCAACAGAGCTTGGTTGGCGGGCGTGTGCATTTGCATTATCAACATTCCTCATTGTTGAAACAACATAATCTGTTCTAATTTACGCCTGCAATTTCTCATGAAAAGGCTTACCTTTGCAACGAAGCACAGCAACGCAGCTGCGACGATCTGGCTCCTGCTGGCCCGAACCATAGCTATTCGATGGCCCTGCAAACAAAGCGATCTTTGATGGAGATCAGTTGCCTATCGGTTAACGCGGAAGCATGCTACAGAACAATTTGATACCGGGCACTCACTTCTCGTCATTGCTACGTCAAATATCTTGCACTGAATTTTGTTTCTGAGAACCCACAGTGAAATCCAGAATTTCGAACGAGTATTTTTCAAGCGGGCGGCTAATCGGGCTTCCGTAGTTTTTCTGCTCGTATTCGAGGCTAACGGCTGCATTGCGCTAGGTTCGAGTTTCCCTAGGCCGGGCCACTATATCACATATATATAGTGGCTTGACCCCTCAGTAACTAGTGTCTTGTATTACGCCAACAACTTGCACCAACAGGAATTCAATGTCAGTTGCATTCTGAAAATGAAGTCAACAGATGGCACAGGTAATTACCTCGAATCACCACTTTGTCGAGCTTGTTGGCTCTAGGACGTGTCGGTGCTCGGCCTTGAGCTTAAAACAACTTTTATTATTGACAGCGCCATTATAAGGCCTGCTAAACAGTAAAACTAACATTGGTCGGGTTCCTGCTTCAGCGTCTCTCATATATTTGCACACAAAAAACTGTGGTAGCTCAAGGGTTCAACATCACATGCACCGCACAGCTCGGCATGCCTTGTCTCCTCATCAGTAGCTAGAGTTTTCAGTTTCAGCTAATTTCAGCGGGTAAAATGGGGGTAGACGAAGAAGCGTGTGCATATATAGGCCTGCGTATAGTTTCTATATAGTCCCCTTTTGTTCCGGTACCTGCGGCTGTGTCGGTGATCCTGGGACATTGAGAGCATTGAAACGTCCTCGGGTTAATGCAGGGTGTCATAAATGTTCTACAGCTGAAAAAAAAATAGTATATGCAGTAAGTAACGAGAAATACAGAACGCGCGATTTATAGGGCCCCTTGCGAGACCTGGCTGTGGCTGTAATGTGGCGTTCTAGGTTCTTTCTGTGATATGCACAGTACATCAGGATGACGCAAGCGAAATAGACGATACGAGAAACAAGCATCGCTTAACTGTTTGAATAAAGAAAAAAACTGTATGATGTGTGGTTAAAAAGTACAGCTTCATCGCAGATACGCCCAATATCTTCATTGAACAAAAAATAGAATCCTTCGTACAGCGCAAGTGGCAGTCACACGTGTTAAAAAATACTATATGGGTTTATCTCTACGCGGTTTCACTCTGGAACATAATACTTCTGTCGGCACGAGTAAAATAACAACTCCCACCTATACGTTATCTGTATAGCACATTACAGGCTACTTTTCGCATATGAAGATAATACTGATGCAAAGACTAACAGGACATTTTTTTTTGGTTGCACATGCGCTCGTAAATATACAAGTGCGTTTTCTTTCTAGCTTTACGATTCGAAGGCAAGCATTGGGATAGCATGCAACACATAATTTTCTCTGTAATGCTACGATATCTATCTCGCGGAAAAAGGCGGCGTCTAACTGAAAAACTGTTGCAGTTTCGCGTGCCGGAACCACGACGCAATTATTGATTGATATGCAGAATTTAACTTCCCAAAACCACCATATGAATATGAGAGACACCATAGTGGAGGGCTACGGAAAATTCGACCACCTGGGGTTCTTCAATGTCCACCCAAATCTGAGCACACGAGCCCATATCGTTTTCACCTAAAACCACGACACGATCATAAGGTGCACCGTAACAGAGAAACGGATTGATTTCGACCACCTGCGGTTCTTTAACGGGCTCATAGATCTAAGCACACATGTGTTTGTTGCATTTATGGCCCATCGAAGTCCGTCATCTGCAGACGGGATCGAACGCGCATCTTCGAAAGGTTACTTCCTATAATAGAAGGTGTACGCCACAGCTTAGTACACATCTAAACAAAAATCAGCTGTTATCCTTTGAAGAAAGTCAACCAATCAAAAGTACATAGCTGGTTGATCTACGCGCAGAGCTTAAAGGCTCAAGCCGCTTTCGCAGAAGTTTTCTAGACTGGAGTGGACTCACGTTTCACAACCACCTGCAGGTACAAGAGAAGCCAGCGTCTGCCAGTTGTTCGCGCTACATGCCAACGCAAACTGGTAAGCCCGTTTTTTGTTGGAGCAAACTTCCGGGACACCAAGAACGACGCCTCTAGCCCCAGAGCCGGCCTTGAAAATCAATTTAGACCACGAACCCTGACGCCTCTGCGCATCTATTCAGAGCTGGCGATTCGTGGGCGCTTCTACGGAACGACCACTCATCGAACCCGCGGACCGCTCCCCAGCGTCGTCGCCCGTGCTTCGCAGAAGAGCTAACGGCCCACCGTTCATTCCGGCCTGTACAGAATGACGTGTCGTCCGTGGTGGTTACACTCCCTCGTACAGGCATTAGAGAAGGATAAGGCGCTGACCTTCTTTGTTCACACCGAGGTCAAGCACAGAACGTGCGTTGGGTGACGCAGAGCGGAAGACCCGGGAGATAAAGCAGGATTGGAATCCACGTGGTACTATAAAAGCAACAAGTGAACTGCTTGTTTTTTGTATTTAATGTTGAAGCATAGCCGCTAGGCTTAGTTAAAATTGTTACGTGGATTGCTGTGACGATGAAAGTGTAGATTCAAACGGCATATATATCTTTTACCGCGTGGTGAAACTGAATAAGACGACACGCTTGTTTGTTTATACACTATAGGGAGACTTTCTTTCGTTCCACTGCAACGTATATACGTCTACTAAGTATCGTCTGTTTTTTATAACAGAGCTGTATTTAGTTAAGCGAAACTGAAATTTGTCCGTAATATTTGCGCGAAATCGCCGAGCATATATATGCCATAGGAATTGGGAAAGAGCCCGCTCTCACTGCTACTCTACTAATTATGAAGAAAGAAGTCGAGTGCAGGCAAAAACGCATGCACTGAAATTAGGCCGATATCACGCTGGTCCTGTTTGGGCTTTTTTGTTGTCGTTTTAAGGTACTGTTTTTACTTATATAAAATCCTTCTATTCAGCGCTGGCTCACTAAGTATGAAAAAGAGAGCACAAGGGCGGCGAACACCAATCGAGATTTCCGGATCGGCGTGACCAATAAGTGAGGATGACTTCAACAAAACTTCACGGTTATATTTTAAATTCCTCATGACGATACTTTCTTCAGACGTTACCATTATGAACGCTGTTATGTATTCAATATATTTTGGTAAATAGCTGGAAGGTAGTCTGGTGAGTGGTAGTGTATGAATATTGATAAGTGCACGCACCCCCCCCCCCTTCCGCCAACACACTCGCACACCTCTTATTTTGTTGCTCTATATCGTTTTGATCTGTACAGGTATTCGTTATAAACCTATGGACGGGTCAAAGAATAAGAAGCTGCTTTAAACAAAAAAAAAAACGAAAAAACCAACAAACAAACGTTCAGCTCAGTGTTTGGAACAGCAGGCGAGGAGGAACAACCAAAAAAAAATTGGTTCCATCATGTCGGTTCTCGCAATTTTTATCACCACTCCTCCCCCATCTACCTCGTATGAAAGAAGGAAAAAAAAAGTAGATGCAGTATTCGGTCGAGCGGATTTTGTATAGGCTTGCTTTAGTTCTTCAACGCTGCTTTGTGGGAATGCCGCCTTCAGTGTAGGGGCACTTACTTTATGAGATGCTGCGACCACCTTTCAATGAACTGGCCCTCTCATTTTTTATGTATGCTGACAAGTCTTGCATGCGCATATGTTCCGTTGATGGGAACGCACCGCAAGAGCGATGTTCTACTGCGCTTCGCACTATTTTAATCTTTTTTTGTGTGTTCTTTCTGGTAATAGAGGGTTTTTGTGCTTATATTCACTGATATTGGAGTAAAACAAAACAAAGTAAACACGATCTTCACCATCTCAAGATCTCGTGTAATAATATGGTAAGTGCGATGAAGTATCCACTTTGGCCCCGCCGCGGTGGTCTAGTGGCTAAGGTACTCGGCTGCTGACCCGCAGGGCGCGGGTTCGAATCCCGGCTGCGGCGGCTGCATTTCCGATGGAGGCGGAAATGTTTTAGGCCCGTGTGCTCAGATTTGGGTGCACGTTAAAGAACCCCAGGTGGTCTAAATTTCCGGAGCCCTCCACTACGGCGTCTCTCATAATCATATAGTGGTTTTGGGACGTTAAACCCCACATATCAATCAATCAAGTATCCACTTTGCATATATTTTATGTACATGTGTGCGTATACATGATTCATCTACTCCGTTGTAGCTGCGCACACGCACCTCTTGACGAGCCACGTGGCTCTAAGCATCGCGTGTGCTCAACAAATGTCAAACAACGAAAGCTGAACTTTTTTTAGCCTGTGTCAGCAACATTTCACAAAATCGTGATTTCCCGTTTCATATGACGCTGAAACATGTGCTTCATGTAAATATCAAAGACCCTCTCCTGATGCAACAAACACACATAAACAAACAAACAATAAAGCACAGCAAGCAGACAACTAGTACCGAAAGCACATCATGAGAGATATAGTAGACTGGCCGTATCGACGATAGGATGACCAAGCGTGCACTAACATGTCCCGGTAGTTATGACGCTATGTCGATGAGCACAAAGGCATAGATTTGATTCCTGGCCGTTGCGTACGACAATATAATAAGGGCACAGTGCAACGACAATTGTCTTCGAAGCCTTCGGTGCCGGCGAAAGTAAATGAAAACAAACGATTAATGTTAGTACAAAACCCTTTCTAACAGAATTTGATACGTAGCGTATGTCTTCATCTGAGGGCTTGAAGCTTACTAGTCACTCTACGGGTGGCTAAATAAGACTTTGATAAACTTTGTTTAAGTGCTCCGGCCTCACAGAGATGAATTCCCTTCGACAATTGAGTGAAGTGAGCAGAATTGTTTGTTATATAAAAAAAATACGACGATCTTACGTCATCGCATGTAGCCCCGCCGCGGTGGTCTAGTGGCTATACTCGGCTGCTGACCCGCAGGGCGCGGGTTCGAATCCCGGCTGTGGCGGCTGCATTTCCGATGGAGGCGGA